TAACCTAGTGTGTCCTACCTAAGGCCCCAAATTCATCTCACACCACTTCACTCTGTCAAATATTCCAAGCTCTTCTTGCCTCAGGTCTTCCCCCTTGCTGCTCCTTCTGCCTACACAACCTCAAACTCACCATAACCTCCACCATTCTCCTACTAGTCCTTCTAGGTCTCAAATAACACATCTGTTAGCAGCTGTTCTCAACCTGTGGGTGGCGACCTGTAGCTCAAAGGCGGCACCGGCTCCATATGCCAGAGGTGGCAGGTTCAAACCTAGCCCCGGCCAAAAACTGCAAAAAATAGTAATAATAATAAACAATTAAAATATATTGTGGCATTAGGAAGGTTGAGAACCACTAATTTAGAGCAACTTCCATCTCCACTGGATAGCCTACATAAATTAGATATCCCTATTATATTCTCATCATATTCTATACTTTTCCATCTTGTCCTTTACCACAGTAAGTACCACATCTGGCTTTTTCCACTAACCAGGTCCACAATGGCATAACTTTGTTTATGTGTTCACCACATTACCCCCATTGCTTAGCACGATGGCTGCCATATTGGAGGCAGTCACTCAATAATAAAATAAAGCAAGAGTGAATGTGGAGAAAAGAAAAGGAGTTTCTTCTACATAAGACCGCATTGGCTCCTCAAAAACTGAATCCAGATTGCTACACCAACTATTTGAAACAAGGTACTTCTACATCTCATTTTCATTCTCCTGGTAAAACAGACCTACATCATGCGTTCTTGGTAGTTATGAAATCCAACTCCATTCTTCCATAACCTCTACAAAAATCAAACTTTCCGCCTCCGTTTTCTATTCTTTTTCTATTTTTTTTTTGAGACAGACTCACTTTGTCGCCCTTGGTAGATAGAGTGCTCCAACATCATAGCTCATAGTAACCTCAAACTCTTGGGTTCAAGTGATCTTCTTGGCTCAGTTTTTCACTTTTAATAGATAGGGTCTCACTCTTGCTTAGGCTGGTCTTGAACTCCTGAGCTCAAGCAATCCACCCACCTCAGTCTTTCAGAGTACTAGGATTATAGGCATGACTCACTGTGCCCAGTCTCTGCCCCATTTTCTATTTAGCCCAAGACTCCCAACACAGAAACCAAAGCTAATCAAATCATAGTTCAGAAATTATTTCAATGTAAAGCATTCTTGTAAACCAACAGAGAACATGAAGGAAAATACACGAATTTTGTTATGTTTTCTCTGTAAAGAATTTAAATGGTATTTTCTTATGACAGTTACAAGGTGCATATGGGCCACATATCACTTAATCTTTGAAACTTAAATGCCACCAGGGAGAATAAAATTGTCCATTTGAAACAATTTTCAAAGATTAGAATTCATGGTATAACTACTTTTGTAGCTGCTATGTATAAGAAATATAGGAGCACATGGTAATAATCTGAAAGAAAGGATAAGAACACTGTTCTGAGCTTGGCACCCATAGCACAGTGGTTACGGTGCCAGCTACATGCACCAAGGCTGATGGGTTCGAAACTGGCCCAGGCCAGCTAAACATCAATGACAACTGGAACAAAAATGGTCAGGAATTGTGGCAGGTGCCTGTAGTCCCAAGCTACTTGGGAGGCTGAGGCAAGAGAGTCGCTTAAAGGATGCCAAAGCACTCTACTAAGGGCAACATAGTGAGACTCTGTCTCAAAAAAAAACCCACTGTTCTTCCCAATTATTTGAGATTCTGTTCCTGTGTCCCCTTTGGAGCTAAAATATATTCAATTTTAGGCAAGAAAGGAGAAAGCCGCTACATTACTCTAGTGCTTTTAATTACTTGGGGAGGCTCGGCGCCTGTGGCTCAAGCGGCTAAGGCGCCAGCCACATACACCTAAGGTGGCGGGTTCGAATCCCCAGCCCGGGCCCGCCAAACAACAATGATGGCTGCAACCAAAAAATGGCCAGGCATTGTGGCGGGCGCCTGTAGTCCCAGCTACTTGGGAGGCGGAGGCAGGAGACTCGCTTGAGCCCAGGAGTTGGAGGTTGCTGTGAGCGTGATGTCATGGCACTCTACCCAGGGGGATAGCTTGAGGCTCCGTCTCAAAAAAAAAAAAAAAATTACTTGGGGAGACTATCTTTATAGATGAAGGAAATTACAATCCAGTGAAGAGGTCAATATCAAAAAGTAAATTAATGCTAAAATGCTTAAACTTTAGGGCCAGGCAAGGTGCCTCACACCTGTAATCCTAGCACTCTGGGAGGCTGAGGCAGGTGGAATGCCTGAGCTTACAGGTTTGAGACCAGCCTAAGCAAGAGTGAGACTCTGCCTCTAAAAATAGTTAGGAATTGTGGCAAATACCTATAGTCCCAGCTACTCAGGAAGCTGAGGCAAGAAAATCACTTGAGCACAAGAGTTTGAGGTTGCTCTACCCAGGGCAACAAAGTGAACCTCTATCTCAAAAATAAGTAAATAAATAAAATAAAATGCTAACCTTTAGTGCACCATAGATTTCCCTGGAAATGCAAATTAAAATACCCATTGTTTTAAAACTATAAACAAAGAAGAAAACAGAGTTTGGCTGCCAATGGTTACAGAAGTTTTGGGGGGAAATAATGAAAAAGCTCTAAAATTGAATGTGGTGGGTGGAACCTGTGGCTCAGTGAGTAGGGCGTCAGCCCCATATACTGAGGGTGGCAGTTTCGAACCCAGCCTCAAACTTCAACAAAAAATAGGCAAGCATTGTGGTGGGCGCCTATAGTCCCAGCTACTCAGGAGACTGAGACAAGAGAATGGCCTAAGCCCCAAGAGCTGGAGGTTGCTGTGAGCTGTGACTACAGAGCACTCTACCAAGGGCAATACAGTCAGACTCTGTCGCAAAATAAATAAATAAAATAAAATAAAATAGAATGTGAGAATGGTTGCACTTTTGTGACTACATTGAAAAACCACTGAACTGTACAATTCAAATGAGTGAACTGTATGGTATGTGAGTTATACTTCAATAAAGCTATTAAGACTCTAAACATACTCAGCAGAGCCGGCGCAGTGGGTAATGCCTGTAATTCTAGCACTCTGGGAGGGCCGGAGGTGAGTGGATTGCTTGAGCTCAGGAGTTGGGAGACCAGCCTGAGCAAGAGCCAGAGACCTTGTCTCTACTAAAACCAGAATAACTAGCTGGGGATCATGGTGGGTACCTGTAGTCCCAATTACTCAGGAGGCTGAGGAAAAAGGATTGCTTGAGCCCCAGAGTTTGAGTTTGCTGTGTAGGTACGACGACACCATGGCACTCTACCAAGGGCAACAGAGTGTGACTATCAGATAGTCTGTCTTAAAAAAAAAAAAAAAAAAAAAGACCCTGGGCGGCGGCGCCTGTGGCTCAGTGAGCAGGGTGCCGGCCCCATATACCCAGGGTGGCGGGTTCAAACCCAGCCCCAGCCAAACTGCAAGAACAACAACAAAAAAAATTGCTGGGCATTGTGGCGGGCGCCTGTAGTCCCAGCTACTCCAGAGGCTCAGGCAAGCAAATCGCTTAAGCCCAAGAGCTGGAGGTTGCTGTGAGCTGCAAAGCCACAGCACTCTACCAACGGTGACAAAGTGAGACTCTGTCTCTTAAAAAAAAGAGAGAGAGAGACTCTTACCCTAACCAAGGAAAGATGTGGGTGACTCACCTTTTTTTTTTTTTTTTAAGTTGTGTCGATATTGCTCCCTAAACTTATTACAGGTTCTAGAGGTCAAAGTGAGCTCCAGGTCATTTACAATTGAGGCCAATACTCCGGGTGGAATATATTAAGATGAAAGTGCAACGGTATTAAGGAATAAAGACAACAAACAATGACCCAACATACCAATATCCTGAAACCTCGTGGAAAACAAAAGACAATGCAAAGATCGACAGCACAAATTTTATCAACTCCCTTTCTGATCTCTACTCAGAACCACCCAATCACTACATCCCAGGTCCAACCGGAACCTGAGCCTCGGGTGAGCCAGCGCCCTCTCTTCCGGGCGGTACCCCACCCCCACTCACGTGGGACTCAAGACCACTCCACTCTCTTGCAGCCAGCAATCGCCAGAAAATGTTCAATTCGACTTTTATTAAGTGCCTGCTGCATGCAAAGTTCTGACCTTTATGCTCGGCTCAAGAAAGGTCAGTACGCCCTGGACCTGGTCTCCTGAAAGATTCTCGACCCACCTTACGTCCTAGGCCTACCTTCCTTCCAGTTCCTACTCGTGCCTTCCGCTGGCCCGAGTACCGGCCCAATGCCTTAGTTTGGCCCGCGGGCCACCATAAAAAGACCTCGCACCATGCTCAAGACAGGTGGCTGCCATTAGCGACCTGGCACCCAGTGGGGGTACCCTACCCACTGAGACCTCAGCTCGGAAGACGACTCTTCGGGCCCCCATCTCCAAACCGCAAGGGTCACCGAATGGGACAAGCGCTACCTCCTCACCCACGCGCGCGGCCGACGCGGCCCACACTTACGGCGTGCAGCGGTCGCTATACTCATTGGCGATAGTCTCGATGCCGCCGGCGCGTGCCACAGCGACGTAGCAGCTCTGGAAGCCCAGGTCTATGCCCACCACCGACATGGCGCCGGCTACGGCTCGGGCCCGGGTCCGGCTGCCGAGACAGGACACGGGACCCCGGCGGGGCTAGCGCGTGGAGATTGGGCCGCGTGGGCCGAGGGGCTGGGGCTAATGGGAAGCGTCCACGCGAGCGCCTAGGTTCTTGGCTGTGAGACCACAACCAAGGGCGCTTCTCAGGCCGGCTCCGGCTCAGCGGCCGCAGAGGAGGCGCCGGTAGCGGGGGCGGAGAAGATCTCGAAGGATCTCGTTGGGACGCGAGCAGAGCCGCAGCGCGAGAACCACGAAATAACAGAATGTTCTCGCGATACCCGGGTTCAGCCTCTTTCCCCCTACGGTCCCGCCCCCAGATACTCAAAGGCACGTGACGTTCTGGCACCAGAAACTGAGAAGTGTCGGCTAAAAGATTGGCTAGGAAGCCCCGCTGGCCAAGTGAGCCTGCGCGCAGAACCCGCCGCAGCGGCGCGCCCTGGCAGAGCGCTTCCCCTTCCGGCAGGAAGCCGCGGAGCAGGTTTGGGGTCGCAGTTTAAGGAAGGACTGCGCTCTGTTTCCGCCGGTTTTATCTCAAAGAAACTTCCGGTGGCAGAGTCTTCTGCGCTCTACCTTCTGTTTGTTGGGTTCCAACAAGATGTGAACGCGAGTTGATCAAATTCCGCAGAGTATTCTTTTCTCTCCTCGTGGTAGATTGGCCGGTAGGAGAAGAGGCCCGGTTGGAAGCGGCCCTGAGCCGGGCCTTACGTCGTGCTCTGCCTATAAAAGACAATTCTCTCGCTGGCGGAGGGCAAGAACTCCCTCCCAGTCACACCGCCTCGTTCATTTCGTTCATCTCTGTCGCACTGTCCTCTGACCCGCTTGTGTCCTTACATCAAACCGAGGACCCTGCAGGAGTTTTAAGTGCCGAGCACGTTTCAAGCCTCTGCCCCTGAGGTGGGTGCAAGGTACAGAGACAGATAACACCCTAGTTAGCCGGGAACGTCCATGCAGACCGGATAGTTCCAGGTTTACGTGAAGTTGATGAATCTTAAGTTTCGGGGCACCTCACTTGCATGGGCTTCTGGGAGAGCAGGGAGTAGCAGAGAGTTACAGAGTGCTCCAGGTGCATAGGGGAAGTCAGCTTGAGATCATGAGGCAACTCTGCGGAAGCATCGCTAATAAATTGCCTAGAGAGCTCAGAAAGTGAATCTCAATCTCCAAGTCTCCAGTAATATGTTTCGGTTTCTCGTTTCAGATATTTGTGATTTTTTTTATTTTTTCTTTAATTTTTTTTTTCAATTTCAGATTAATATGACGGTACAACCAGGTTGCATTGTTTGCGTTTGCTGGGTATCGTCTCTGTTATAGTAGTGCCGGTCACCCAGGTGTGCCATATACCCTTACGCCTATGAGGTGAAACACACCAGTCACCCTTCCTCTTCCTTCCTCACCCCTAACTTGAATGGAATTAAATTGAGTTTTTCTCTTGTTTGGGCATGCATTAGTTCGTCTACTGGCTTCGTATTAGTATTGAATACATTGGATACTTTTCCATTCTTGTGATACTTTACTGAAGAGAATGTTCTCCAACTCTATCGAGGTTAATCCAAATTGTGATTTTTTTTTTTTAAGGGCTCCCAACAGTGTATAAACTTGAGCTCTACAAAACCTGGCAGGCAGTTAGCTAAAAAGGCAAAGAGGATTCTGTTGCAGGTTGGCAAATGCTGTATGTAAAGTATGTGGAGACCAGGGGGATTTTCCAGAAAAAGAAAAAGGTGTGTTCAAATTGGAAACACCAGTAGAGAGTTAGTTTGAGCACTATGAGAAGTTATGTATTCCTAAAGGATAAACTGTAGTTGAAGGTCTCAGGCCTAAGGCAGGCACGGGGGCTCACGTCTGTAATCCCCGCACTCTGGGAGGCCCAGTTGCGCGGATTGTTTGAGCTCCAGGATGGGTTCAAGACCAGCCTCAGCAAGAGCAAGACCCTCCCCTCCGCTAAGACCCTCCCCCCTGTAGTCCCAGCTACTTGGGAGGCTAAGGCAAGAGATCCCTTGAACCCGAGAGCTTGAGGTTGCTGTGAGCTATGAAGCTGAGGGAGACAAAG